AAAAAAAAAATTGTAATTGTGCAGTTATGTTGGCTCAGTATGGAAACCAAAGAGGAAATATATATTATGCAATCATGTAAATAATAGATGCTAATTTGGTATCTTGGTGACTAAAGAAATTTAATGCATTATTTTGCTGGATAACTTTACATTATGATTTCATGAATTATTTTTTTCTAGAGAATTCTGAATGTAGTTCTTGCTATGTCATTATAATGGGAGAAGCAGATAAAGACTAGAGCAGCTGACAAAGGCAGACAATTACATATTTGGAGAATTATCATGCAGATTCTGTAGGCTGGACATTTAAAAATAAACTAATGCTAATATGGAAGAAAGAAGAAATTTTACTAGTAAGCCTCAGGTCTTATTTTAACTTACAGTGCAGTTGTGGAATTGAGATATTATGAATAAAACAGTCACTTGATAAAAACAAATAAATAAATTCAGTTATAAGACCACAAAACTATCATGTTACATTGTGACTGAATATAAGAATTAGTAATTGAGCTCAAATAAATATACTGTTGATTTTAAGGAAGGAAAAAAGGAAAACATGATCAAGGATGTGTCCACAGGAGACTTTAATGGCTAATGTGACTGCAATTAAGAACAGACAGAAGTTGGGCTGTGGATACGTAGATGTTGGTTACCTTTTCCTTTACATTAACATACACAAATTAATAAAGTAATTTTGAGTGTGTCTCATTTTTAAAAAAATCTTTCTCATTTAACCCGCTGTTGCTATCAAATAGACATTTGATGTTTACTCACCAGAACTTTCCATGAAATCTGCTCCATTGGCTGTTATAGCTGGTACACAGATATTTGTGATTTCCTGCAAACCATGTTTGAAACAGAAATACATTTAAAAGCAAAGTAGACGTTAGAGCAATACAAATGAAATGTGGTCCTCTGTTAATGGTAATGTTATAAGAGTACCAAATCCTTTTAGGAGTAACCTTATTTTTAGGATTTGACATCTAAAGAGCTAAAATCCTAAAAGATTCTTTCCATTACGTCAGTGACTCACACTGGGGGTCAAGAAATCTCTTCTTTTTTGTACTCCTCTCCCCCCTTTTCTATATCAACATTAAATACATTTTTTTCTCTATGTGATTATGATACATATTTTACAAACAGAACCCCTACCTTGTCCTCAGGTTGGGCACCTTCGATTCCCCACTGATGAATTGTCCCTTCAGAACCATCGGGAACCGGGATAAAACCACCTGTCACCCCTCCGATGGGAGTTGTCCCACAGGAACAGGTCAGCAGCAGAAGGGGAGCCACTAGTGAAAAACAAGACCAAATAATCAGAACATTTGAAAAACCATTTGACATGACAACTGTCAGACATGTCACAAAGAAAATAAAAATTTTAAAATACTTAAGGAAAATTCCTAATTAAAAGTAAAATTGATTTCTACAAAATAAAATGTAGTAAATTGAGCATGCCAAAATTTCAAATTATTACAAAACGGAAGGAGACAGGCCAGATCATTTCTCGTTGCAGGTATATTGTTGTTGAAGATACACTTTGTTTGATGAATTATAAAGGGGGTTGCTCAGTTCCTCAATCCTTTTCCTGAATAGATTTTTTTGATGATTGTGTTTCTTTGTACATATTGAGGCTAAATATATATTGTGTTAGGTAAGTGTGGAGATGACCATGATACCTGAATGCCCAAGATTTTAGGTGGGTATGATATTGTTTTAATAATTTGGTTTCTAAAAAGTTCTTAATAAATAGTACTTGGTCAGCAAACACCCTAAGCACCTAGAGAGATGACCCTAACAAATGGTGATGAATGGATTCTTAATTGTGACTTGAGAATGAGTCCCTGGCTCAGAGGGTTTTTTT